GCTCTAAGGGCAGGACCTTGGCACTTCAGCTGGACCCCTTTTGGCTGATACACACTGTCTCACCTGCTACCCCGTCCAGATGTGGCTCCAGCAGCCCGACTCGGGAGGATTCAGCCAAGTACGGCAGCAGCAGGGCTTGGGAAGGAGCCCCCTACCCTGTCAGCCAGCTGCCATCAGGCCGGTTGCTGATTACAGCAAGAACCTGCCATGCACACATCATGCTTCCCCGGCCTGCTCACTTTTGCTGGACCCCAGCACATCCTCCTCTCAGGTAAGGCTGTGCACAGGACCGCACTGCACAGGACCGCACTGCAGAGCGACCGCACTGCACAGGACCGCACTTCAGAGCGACCGCACTGCAGAGCCTCTCGCTCCTCGATAGGCCCTGTGTATGGGATTCGACTTGAAGTGCCGCCAATAACAAAAAGCATGTAGCATCATTTATGGCTGTGTTATGAAGAAAAGCAAACTGTCCCAAACTGACTCATTCAAACAAATGCAAGTTAACCCAATAATAATGCTATTTTAATGCTTTGTATAGAAGGATTGATGCAAGATTTAAAAAAAAAAAAAAAAGTATAAACAGGCATATTGTCTTCACCCAGTGGGGTACGATATCAGTGGTTAACTTTTTGGAAAATGGTTCCAATTCATGTTGTAAAATATCTTTCATATCAATATGTGAGTCAGCTTGGAAGCTCAATAGAGACATTCCCCACAGGCAGAGCCACCGCCAATAAGAAGCTCCCTGAGTCCAGCCATCAGCATGCCAGTGCAGACCCACACCAGCATGCCAGTGCAGACCCACACCAGCATGCCAGTGCAGACCCACACCAGCTTGACTGTGCCTTGGTGCAGCAACCCCATGATGTTCTCCCAAACTAGATCACGTCCCCCACAGGATGTCAGTCCAAGACACTCTGGCGTGGATTTCAGCCAAGATGGGCAACTACGGTATGACTCTCCAACCATTGAGCGTCTTTGGCAAATGTACAAAGTGTACTGTTTATTCAGTATGAACAGCAAGTTGAAGGTACAGGGGTTGGACAATGAAATTGAAACACCTGGTCAATAGTGTTTGAGGTTTCACACCTATATATGCATGACCTGGTGGCCAGTCTTCACTGATTGCACATTCCGGCAGTAAGAGCAGAGTGTGAAGGTTGATTTAGCAGAGCAATAGCACAACTCTGCATAAAGTATTGCAATCCACACAACATAATGTGGACAAAAGATGACAGATTGTTCAGCACGTCTCACTGGCTCATCTATGACTAGAACAGCAAGGCTTTGTGGCGGATCGAGAGCCACAGTATCCAGGGTAATGTCGGCAGACCACCACGAAGGACAGACCACATCCAACAGGAGTAACTGTCTGAAAGGGATGTACAGGCACTAACCTGGATTGTATCCAAAAAACATCAAACCAAAGCAACCGAATCATTGCAGAATTAAATGAGCGACTAAACTCTCCTATTTCAACCAAGCCTGTAGCTCCACAGGGTCAGTTTTCATGAAGGGGCTGCTGTAGCCAAACCTTTGGTCACTCGTGCCAATGCCAGATGTCAGTTTCAATGGTGCCTTCAGTGCAGATCTTGGGCACATCCAGGAGAGTTATGTGTGGAGAAGCCCCAAAGAGGCTTACCACCCGGACTGTTGTTTACCCAGAGTGCACCATGGGGGAGGATCAGTGATGGATTGGGCTGCAACATCATGGCATTCCCTAGGCCAGGGGTCACCAACCTTTTTGACACTGAGAGCTACTTCGGGTACTGAGCCATACGTAGAGCAACCAGTTTGAAACGGCCTCCTAAACTTATCTAAACTTCATGTACAGTATAATAAACATGTTTTAAATGCTTTCTTTAGATATTGCCATTTTCAAATCTATATAAATGCAAATGTGATTAAAGAAGAATAGCAACAGGATAAAATTAAGTTTTATATGCTGCTCACTGGTGAGTTGTGCTATTTTTAGAACAGGTCTGCGGGCGACTCGTGTGGTTCTTGGGGGCATCCTGGTGCCCACGGGCACCATGTTGGTGAGCCATGTCCTAAGCGCATTACTTGTTCTAGATGGGCGCATCACTAATAAGACTACCAAACTATTCTGAAGTACCATGTTCACCCAACATTGTACCCTGAAGGTGGTGCTGTGTATCAGGATGACAATGCACAAATACACACAGCAATACTGATGACAGAGTGGTTTGATGAACATGAAAGTGAAGTTGAACATCTCCCATGGCCTGTACAGTAACCAGATCTATTATTGTGCCACTTTGGGGTGTTTTGGAGGAGCGAATCGGGAATTGTTTCCCTCCACCAGCATCACATAGTAACATTATATTGGGTGATTTAAGCATGTACATAACTGAAGTACTTTATGCTAAGTAATGCAGAGACATTTCTCCTTCCTTTTAATCCAGGTCTGGGGTTCCGTGAGGACCAGGTTGGGAAATACTGTGTTAATCAAAACATGCAAAGCAGAGACTGAAACTGCATTCCATGCCAGAATGCAGAGTTAAATACCATAAAGCAAAAACACAGTGCCTGAATTCTTCTAGAATGTACTGTAAACTCCTTTGATAACTTTCCATGAAATGATGCTGCTTCTAACTTTTTGCTTTTAATTAAACAATGATTTTAAAATGAAGTGATGGTATTTTAGATGAATGCAGTCACAGCTGTTACACTGATCTACCTTTATTTTCATAATCTTTTTAGCTGGTAAATAAGTTATTTTTAAAGATTCCTAGATTAAGTAAACATGGGAGAATGGATGGTGCGGAAGAAGAGGTATCCAGCTAACAATTTTTTGCTCTGGGATTGTTTACCTAATGTTACGTTTTAGGTATGGAAATGGGAAATGCTCACCCACTACTACAACTGAAAATAAAAACGGGCAAACAAATTAAGGGTGTAGGAGAGCAGTGGGTACCCTGTCCCTTTGTACCTCGGAGGTCATGAGTTCAAGGCTGGGTGATGTGTTCACAGTATGCACACATGGAACTATTATAAAATAGTATTTTTTTTTATAAAGCACTGTTTTTCAACATTAATTACATTAAAAGGATGTTCAGGTAATAATGTTATTGTGATAACATTTACTTAGCGTTCTGGGAATGTTCCCTGTTAGCTGGGTAGCTGCTATGAGGGTCATAATCACATGATTGCTCAGTTTTATAGACAGCAGTTCTTTGCGATGAACACACTCTGCTTCCGTGTTTGGCAGTGTGCTCCTTCATCAGCCTATTCAGACCACAATACCAGAGAGTGCTACCAGTTTGCAGCTCTCTCGGTGCAATGAATCCTTGCAGCAAACCAAGTGAGTTGACCCTTGTCTGGATGGTATTAATTAGGAGAGACTTGAAACTGTCAACGACAATGAAGGGTCGTGTGTAGGATGGTTTGTGCTGTAGGTGCCGCAGTTTTTGACTGAGAGAAAATAGGTACATTTTTGTTGATTCCCTGACTTGAAAGCAGATGGGTTTAGTGAATATGATGTTATGGAGTTGATCTTTTCCCAGATATGGTCTGGAGCAGCAGATTATGGTGGCACCGTCAATGCCTGTGCAGCAGGTGAATTGCAATGCTGTCATCATGCCGTCACCTGTCGTCACATCTCCCATCATGATCACCCACAACAGCTTCGTCACACACCAGGCACAGCCTTCCCACCAGCCCCCAGTCCAGTCCACACAGGACCCTTTCCAGCTGCACCAACCTCAAGCCGTCTTTCAGGTAACCCCAGTCCACGACGGCTCTACATCAGCAGATTCACATTCAAGTCATGGTCCAGTTCACACCAGAACTGCCAAGTTATCTGAGCCTTTTCAGAATCCATCCTCCATCCATATTTTATCCTCATATCCTGGTCAGGGTTGCAAAGGGGATTGGGGACTTATCGGGGGGGGGCTATGCATCATGTAGAGGGTGCCAGTCCATTTAAAGGCACATGCAGGCAAAATCATGAACTAGCAATTTAGAGATATAGTAAAGCTAGCTGCTATACCTTTGGAATATGACCTTTCACCTCACTTGGTATAGACTCAAACGTGTGTATATATAAGCAGTAAAAAGTGCAAGTGGGAGAAATCTATGAAAAACAGAGAACATGCAAACTCCACTATAGAACAGAAGCAGGATTCAAGCCCCTATGTGTTGGAGGTGAGAGGGAACTAGGGTTGCAAAGGGGTGGAAAATTTCTGGTAAGTTTTCAAAATGTTTCCATTTGAATTTTGGGAATCTATAATGCCAAAATTCGGAATGCTTTATTATAGCTGCTTTCAGCTTCTGTTTTTTGCTGCTTGTATGGGTTTGATTCTACACCAGATGAAGGGAAAGGCCAAGCTGTGGTAACATCATATTTTTGGTATTGTTTTAAATATAAAATTTGATTGTCCAGCCCTAACAGTAATACTCCAGGAGTATGTTCACGAAGCACTGATTGTCCAGCTGTAACAGTAATACTGCAGGAGTATGTTCACAAAGCACTGATTGTCCAGCTGTAACAGTAACACACTCCCATGTTTTGTGTTTCACATCAGCAGATGCAGCCCCAGGGACTGTTACACTGCAGACAGCCTCAGACTGTGTTTCACTCCGCTCATGTCCCGCAGCAAAGCACTTTGGGTTTCCTTCAGCAGCCACAGCAACAGCAGCAACAACAGCCACTGCAGCACTGCCACTCCCAGAAGCAGACTGCTGGCCTTTCAGACTTCCAGAACATACTGACATGGTAGCCAGGACAACTGAGGCACCATGGAGATCTCTAGTGACTGCTGTATGTTCTGAGGCAATATATACAATGATGGTCCCCCAAACCTCTTCATCTACAGTAGAACATCCCAGTCCCCCTCTGGTGGCCTTACTAACTTCTGCTTTTGTATCTCATGTTGGTGTGATCTACAGGCAGGAACTGCCTTATTTGGTCGGCAGCTCTCCCAGTCCCAGGTACGGCCCAAGAAGTCTATTTAGAAATCCCAAAGTAAGCATAAAATACATGTATGTACATGCTATGCGACCCCCCCCCCCCCCCCAAGTCTTGTCTTACATCATGTGTGACTGAACATGTGAAAGCAGAGATTTTGAGAATAGGGAAAATCATATTTTGTGCATTTGCATGTGGGCACATTGTCAGCAATGTAAGCCGAATATTTTATGAGGTGAATTAGTATGTTACTCTTGTACTGTAATGCCACAGCAGAATGTTAATATATGTCATGTAATCCAGCAAGCAAAAACTGAATTTTGATTGCTTTTGTATAAATAAATTGTGCATTTAATGGTAAAAACTACCAGAAAAGTAAATATAATTTATGCTAAGACTTCAATAAAGACAACTCTACATTTAACAAAATTTATTACAGTGGATCATGCAATCTTGCACACAAATGATGGACTGAGTCTTTTAAACATTCAGATTCTTGTATTTTGACATTAAATGTGAAAGATTTTATGTATTATATGATAGCTTTTAATTTAACCTTAAAATTGTGTATCTTTAAAAATAAACATGGTGGATTGTAACAGATTAAGAGGCTTAAAATGTGGTATTTGTATTAGTGATTGATTTTTAGCAGAATGCACTTTTCAGTGTCGACCATGATTCTGCAGACCTCCTCACTGCCCCTAGCCTCCATCCTGAGATTAGTCTTAAGGTGGCCTCTGTCTCTTCAGTTGTAAAATCAGGCTTATGTAACTTGGGGGTTGTTTTTGACCAGCTGTTAAGCCTACAGTAGATTCACATATAAAGTCTGTTGGCCGCTCCTCTTTTCATCATTTGAGAAATCTTACTAAACTAAAGTCAGTGGTTTCAAAATCAGAATTAGAGATGCTAGTCCACGCTTTTATCTCTTCACGTCTAGATTATTATAATATTCTGTATTTAGGTCTGAACAAATCTCTCCTTTCTCGGCTACAGTTAGTTCAACACGCCGCTGCCAGGATTTTAACCCAGTCTGATCGGAGAGCACATATTACTCCAATTTTGTATTCTCTGCATTGGCTGCCAGTTCTTTTTAGAGTTCATTTTAAAATCCTGGTATTTACTTATAGAGCGCTGCATGGTCAAGCTCCTAAGTATATCGCTAGTCTACTCCAACGCCACACGGCCAGCCTGGCTCTTAGGTCTAGTCAACAAGACCTTCTAGTCGTCCTCCGCACACGACTTAAGACACGTGGGGATCGTGCTTTCCAGTCAGCTGCACCTAGATCCTGGAACGCTCTTCCAGTAACTTTGCATTCTGTTGAGTCAGTTGACTCTTTTAAAATACATCTAAAGACCTTCTTGTTTAAGACCTTTGAACAGAGCTGAGTAACGCTGCTGGGCTTTATTCTCTAATATATATTTTTAAGTGTTTCTATTTCAAAATTTACTCACTGGTTTTTGATCATAAATCAAATTGTCATTCCGCTTCACTGTCAGAACAGACGCAAAATAACTGTCATGTATAAGCAAGATGGATATTATTTGAGCTGAGTTTGTGAGAGTCACTATTTGACTTTCACTTATTTGTTGTAATAAAAAAAGCTAATATTTATTTTCAGTTTAGGCAAACACATGGAACATAGCATTTTAAACCAGGTACCGTGTAAATGAAATATTTTTGTATGGAAATATCTTAAACATTCCTTCAGCTGTACATGACTAATATTTATGAAGAAATATTTTTATCCTGTGATTTATAAAGGCTGCCTGGCCAATGAGTTTCATGGCAGGGAAGATACTAATTTTGGTCTAATAACTGTTGAACAGGTTAAATTAATATATGAATAAAGACAACAGCTCAGCAGAATGTTAAATGTAAATGTACTGTATTAAAATATTCAATGAATTGTGAGAAACTGATATAAACGTTTGGCTTTTCACATTACATATGTGCACTACCAGCTCCTATGAATAACCAGCGAAGCTTTTTACGCATATGAGTGCTCTCCTCTTATATCCCATTTTGTTTCATGAAGAAACTAAAGTTTGTGACAGACGATACATTTGTCCATTTTAAAAGTGACATTTAAAGCAATTTTTCAATTTTATTTTAATAATAAAAAACATTGTTAAAAGTCAGTATGTTTGTGTGTATCGCTTCTAGTTTTATTCATTTTATGTCATTGTTAAATGGTTCTTGTTTGTTGTGGTTTCTTAGCCTGATCAAATAACATTGCTTTGTCTTTTTTGCATATTATGAAGAAATGTTTGTTCCTGACTTCAGAATATGCACTTTTTGGGCCTTGTTTAGTCCCTCTCTATGGCTTATGGATACATAACTGGCTTTCAGCAGAATGTTAATTGGAAGTGGCCCATAGCATATACCAATATTAAAGCAAAAATTAAAATTAAACCACATACAAAACTAGAGCCATTTATAATGATGCAGCAGAATGAACATGAATACATAAGTAAAGAACGAGTGAGGTCTACGTGCGTTTCCAGAGACCCTTCGTTATTCCAGAATCAATGAATGAACTTTATGTAGTACAGCGGACCCTCGAGTTATGACCGGCCTGACATACGAACAACTTGCGTTACGACCAAAATTTTACTTTAAAATCTTATCTAGCTCAGATTTAAAGGAACCAAGGGTTTCCGCTTGCACTACACTAAGATAAGAACATAAGAAATTTACATACGAGAGGAGGCCATTCGGTCCATCACAAACGAGATGTGACTGAGCACATAGCAAGTTTGATTAGTTAGCTCATTATGTAGATTACCAGGGTTGTTCAGAATTTATGAACTGGATTTTGGATTGACCTGGCCACACCCTGTGAGGTGTTAAACTGGAATGACAGAATTTAATTCATTTCAATTCTTTTTTTTCTCTCCTTTTTTTCTCTTCTTTTTTCCTCTTCTTTCTTCATTTATTTCAATTCAATGTGGTCATGCAACACATGAATGTTATTTAATCTGGCAAAACATAAATAATTACATAACAGATTTACTTCCAACATAGTAGATGTATATATTGACCTTATAAATGTACTCAATTTTTGTTGAAGTGCATTGCTTTGAATTTTTTTTTTTGTCCATTTGTTCTGTTTGTGTTCATAGATGTCTGAGTAAGTAGTGCACATGGAATATTACTACAATTATCTTTCACAAAAGGCTACTATACATTCTGTAAATGTAAGACTCTAAAAAAAGGCACAACTGAAGGCAGTGGTCTTTTCCAGTGAGCACATCAGTGTGTTGTTAGGTCTTTGACAGATGTACACATATGGTGCATGTTCTGATGCAAAAGGCCGGTTAGAATGAAATGGGTTTTGTGGTGTATGCGGCCACCTACCGACCAATGCAGTCATGGGCAGCTGATCGACTGGACAGGATCAGTATATCTTCGACATGTATTTAAATTTAAATAAAAAGTACGACTGATAACTTGCCAAACACTGAAATGTTTTTTTTTTTTTAAATGTGAAACCATAATCAATCTAAGAATAACCGTATCGGCTAAGTTTGGTCAATGAACGTTATGTTCATACTGTGTATCGCAAGGGCTGCAGTAGATCATTAAAGCTAAGCTATACTTTTTTTGTCGGCCGACAGAAGTTACCACTTTCCTTTAAAAACGCCTGTTTCAAATCTACCGCCGTCATCAGCCATCGACAAGTAAAATGTTTCAGTAGTTGTCTGTGTTGTTGTTTATATCGGAAATAACGTAAATTAATCATTTTAACTAAAGTACCGCCATAATAGCGTAACGCAAGTTGTGTCCAAACACACAGGTAGCTAACCTGACAACTAACTCAGTTGTGCAGTAGCTTACTAGTAAGTTAGCTGGCGCGCGAAAAGAAACACGGAGGGAAGATGTAGTTGTTGCGTTTATTTAATATCCAGATAACAGTAGTACACTAGGATAAAATATTATTGTACCTGGGAGTTCGCTTGTATGAAACTGTGTAACTAACTGAAAGACTGATGGGCGCGAAAGTTTTGCTTTGATACGGACCGTATAAGATGTTAGATTGGCATGATGCCTGAAGAAGGAGGACATTTGGGGCAGGAGTCAGCCTCCGTAACACGGGACTCCTTGATACGTTCAGCCTTCCGACAGCTGCTGGCCATCACAACACACAGACTGAGGATTTTTGACGTCGGAGTCGTTGCGGTAATAGCACTGCAGAGGTATTTAACGGAAAGTCAAGCCGCGAAGGACCAAGCTGGTGACAGTTATAGCTATGACATAACCGTCACCGACGGGGTCTGTCAGGTTAAATGCAGCCTCTCCCCTCATCTCAACCATCTTGTGCAAAAAAATATACTTCGCACCGGTGTCGATGTTCATATAAGGCAGTGTTCGTTTGTTTACAACGAGAAGAGACTGGGGCAGGGCACCGTGTGTTTAGAGAAGATGGAGATAGCGGCGGAGCGCTCCTCCATTCTCAGCTCGACTGAGGATGTGGACGCTTTACCCGTTTGGTCGGCAGAGGGAGTTAGAAATGTGACCGTCTCGCAGAGTGATGTGCCCACTCAGACAGGTCGGAAACATTACTTATCATTGTGGAATAACGAAGATCCTCACGGATCTTTATGGATCCCCCGAATCCCTCCGACAGAAGTGGTCCTAGACGGTAAGCAATGCAACAATGATAGTGATGATGATGATTAACATTATTAATAATGTTGTCGTTGTTGTTGTTGTTGTGAATAATTACTAATGGTAACAGTAACATTAGTAATGCCTCATCTCCTTACACATCTACTGGTTAAATGGTTGGAAGATGGATAAAACCTGGATAGATGCTAAGCACTAATTTTGTTTCTTTTTCCAACAGTGTCAAAATGTATTCCACTTTGTGATCTGCACAACTCCTTCTTACATGGGCTGCGGCACCCGCCTTTACTTGTGCGCATTATGTGCAAATCAAGACTGAGATTTTATGGAAAGCTGGACACCAAAGTGGAGTTCCCTTTTCAAGTGAGCAATGTCAATGTTGAAGTGTTGTGTCCAAATATGGTGGGAGCTGTAGTGATTAACTCTGGTGTAAAATGAAGCAGTGATCCAAAAGTTCTACACGAGCACATTCTCAGTAGCCAGTTTGAGGGCAAACACATGACATTTTATTTAAGCAGCTTGCCCTCTCATCTGAGTCATTAAGTTAGTGCAGAGAACTGTCTCATATTGGCTGAGCAGCTTTATATGAAATGTTTTCATAAAATATCAGGCTGTGCAAATGGACTGCAAACTGTACGCACATATGGTGTATGGATCTGTGTGTTATGATGCCGAATGTATGATCGGCAGGTTGCTGATTTCAATCACGGGGCCAGCAGAGTGAATTTCTCATTGGGCCCTTTAGCACAGTCCTTAGCCCCAGGTCCTCCAGGGCCTGGCTGACTCTGCTCTCTCAGTTGTGTGTTTCACTTGAGCAGGAGTGATAGATTTTTTTCTGCCTGTGCGTTTTCTGTGCCACAGGCTTACTTTCAAGTTGCAGATCACAGCGGTTCAGTGTCCTTGGTCCTTTGGAATGCACTATGTCTCGAGTGGTACCAGACACTGAATGTAGGAGTGGTGATGTATCTTCAAAACTACACGCTGAAACGGAGCTTCCAGAACAGGTCACACCCCTCTCTTGCAGATTCCCAGATGAGAATCTTCTCCTCAGTTGGTAGTGAATCAGCCTTCTATCTCTATAATGTCTTTTTCTATGAAGCCTAATCTTGAATTTGTTTCTGACTATGATTTTATTTTCTTTTTTTTTTGCAGAAATTTGCCTGAATCCGCGTGATCCAAGAGCGGTCATTACAGTCATACCTCCCAAATGTGTGCTTCCACTGTGGGGCTTACCCAGTGTCACTTACCAGTTCATCACCAGGTCTTGATTCATATATGAGCTTCAGTCTTGTTTCTTAAGTAAAATACACCAATACTGTGCCGCAAAATATCATCGATATTTCCAGAATATATAGGAAGAACATAAGTATACAAGTATATAAGTTGTAAAGTACCTAATTTTGATTAGAATGAAATACATTTGTATAAAAGCCTTACTTGTATACTATTCTATTTAGTTTTATGTTCCAAAATTACTATTATTGGTATTAATTTTTTTGTGGGGGGGGGGGGGAATTGTGTGTTTCGTAGAATTGCTGGTTTTGTTGCAAGGTACATTTATTCAGCTGTTGTTGTAACTTGAAGGAAGTTAATCTTGAAGTGATTTGGTATGAATGGGGTAGGACCAAATAAGTTTATACTTCTGCCTACTCCTTTTCAAGCAAGGAAATCAAAAGGTGTGATATTATGATGGAGAATGTGTTTTTATTTGTTGTTTGAAAAAAAAAAAAAAATGAAATGAAATTTTACACATTCTTTTTAGTCTGTGCTCTGATTTATATCCATTTTTGTTTTTCAGTTCTGAACTGGAAAGTTTGCCAAATAATTCTGTCTGTGATGTCATTGGCCTTGTCACTTTCGTGGGACGTTGTGAGAGGATCAAGAAGAAGGCAAACACAGGTACCTGAATTTGATTTGTCATCTGAATGTCATCTGCATGAGCGTTTTGTGCATGGAACATGTTCTTATCTATAGCCAGTGTGAACTTTGATATGGGTGACGCGGGCCGGTAGTGGCTTAACACACCACTTATTGTACAAAGTAAATGAGGTGATATTGTTAGGTATTCACATTTCTCTTGCCCCCATTTTACTTGAATACAATAAGCAGAATTCCTTTAGGTTAAGCAATGTTTGAGTGTCTTCCTCATTACATTCCTGCAGTAATAAGCCTTTGTAAAGAGCTCGTGTTGCCTGTTGCAAGAACAACTTGCTTATGCAAAAAGTGAGATTATCTTACAGAAGTAATAATTTAAAGCTGGCAAACTGTAGATTGTACTTGGGGACTTTGCGTTACCTGTTAATAAATAACTACTGTACCCACTGGCTGCTTCCCATCTAGTTTACACAGATCTGTGGGTCATTTTGAGGTTTTAACAAAAGAGAAACCGACTGGTTTCATGAACTCTTAATAATGCATTTTATGTTATTTTCAAGAAAGGGAAATTGCATATTGGTGTATGTTAATGTTTATAAAAGCTGCTATTGTCCAGAATGATGTACAAATGAGGAAAGATGAGGGTCTGAGAGCAGGTACAGCCAGTAAACTCCACCCCTGATGCACGTTACGTTAAGGGCCTTGCTGAAGAGGCCAATCTGCCACACCAGATTCGTACTAATAAACCTTTGGGACATTTGCATCCAGGTTGCTGTCACAGTCACTTTCTTGTTAGAGCAATATAATTGTATGGGTAAGATCTGGAAATGATCAACTTTTGAGACAAATTACACCAAAACTGAAGCAGGCCATATCATGATCACAAACAGAAGGCCGGTTTTGATTCTTGGTCCTGTTAGTACTATAACTCAAAAGTGAATCTTTTTTAACCTTTGGGGACACATTGTATGGGTGAAGAACTGGAACCGATCAAATATTGAGACGGATTACACCAGACTGAAGAAGGTTGCATAGTGATAGCAAACAGAATGGCTGCCTCAGACCCTTGATCCCGCTAGTGTGAGATTACATGGATGAAGATCTACACCTGTATTAATTTTGATGCAAATTGAAAATTGAAACTGCATTTCTATGTTTCGGGAAAGGAAGGTCAGGCCAGCTGCAGAAAACACTTGATCTTGTGAAGACAGTAACTCTAAAAGAAATAGATGGATCTTTTTCAAACTTCCCAGGAACCTTGTATGATGTGGGGCCTACGTCATTTTGAGACAGATTGCACCCACACTGAAGCAGTGCCCCTTTGTGAACAGGGAAGTTCCATATGTGGTGACTATGGTAATCTTGTAACTTTCTTCCCTACAGTCCCTGAAAAATACTGGACTTATCGCTGGGTTCATGCTATGGATGGAACATCGACTGTTCCCTTTGTTCTTGAAATATTTGCTTCATCTCAGCCAGAGATATTTCATGGACTATATCCAAGTAAATACTACTTCAATTTTATGTCCATTATTAGGCAAGCTATGTTGTACTGCCCACATCACTATTTTTATCGTGACTTCTCTGATATGTGTGTGGCGATTAATGTTTTCTTAATTTGTGTTGCATGTAACTTAATCAAAAATCTAAGATTCTTTGTATATGGTTTCAAAGCTTAGAAGTTTTCTTTTTTCTTCAACCTAATGAATCTAGAGTAATAAACACACATCAGGACTCATGTTGTAATTAAGTATCATTGGTTAAACTCATTAAAACAGCAACAATTTTGTCCAATGTAGTGACTTACCTGGTGTGCACTCAGATGAGGGTATGCAGAGAAGCAAGCACTTTGCCCTATCTGACCAGCTCCTGTGAAACTCAGATATTCACTACAGGTCAGTGAATGTATATGTGTATGCTTCCCCACTTTGGATCCTTAATGTGCTATATATTACTCACTTTGAGTCTAGAATAGTGAAGCATGTCTGACGACTGGCTTAATCCTTCCTCTCAGTGGTCTGAGAAAATATACACGTATTAACTTATCTGTAATGAGAACAGCTCTACAATCTCAAGCACCTACACGCTTACCCCAGCATAACTCAAAATTATTTGATGGCTCTTTATTGGTGAAGATCTGGAACCTATCAAATGTTGAGACAAATCGCATCAAAGCTGAAGCAGTGCCGCCTAGTGGCTTGCCAAGGAGAGGGTGACTGCATGTGATAACTCAAAAAATACTATACAGATTGTATATCACTACAAAAAAAATCACTGTATGAATGAATATCTGCACCTGATTTAATTAGACAAATCACCAAAATTGAAGCAGCAGCACTATGTGGCAACAAAGGAAGCTCAGGGCAGGTGCAGAATACACTTGATCTTGTGAAGATAGTAACTCTAAAAGTTTTTGGTGCATTTTTTTCAATCTTTCCAAGAACATTGTATAGATGATGATCTGGGATCTTTCTCAGTCTGAAAGAAATCGCAGTGTAACTTAGTGGTGTCTTTGAAGAACAGCCACAGACATGGATGTGGTGAACCTAATTACATTGAGACAAGTCGCACAGAGCTGGGCTTTTTTGGAAAGGTGGGACGAGTGTTTTGGGCGTCTGGAGTTTATAAAGATTTGGGTGTGTGGGAGGAGTAGGAATTAGACTGGGGGGGTTGTAATGGGGTTGTCAGGGGAATATTTTTTTTAATGCACCTAGCTTCTAATTTAACAGCTTTGTTTGTTCTTTATATGGGTAAGCCAGTGACATATTTGTGTGAAACTGAACTTGAATTTGTCTGTGTTTGGGTGTGTATGTTTAGGACTTCCGGTTAAGTTGTAATATATTTATCTAAGGACTTTTTGCTTCTAGGGTTTCACAAAGGTCAGCCATACATTTCCGATCCTAAAGTGAAAAGCTTCATCCAGTGGACTAAAACTTTGAAGGAGAGTGTGATACTAAAGAAGACTGTCATTGGTGGTCATTACTGTTATCCTCCTTCACCTCCGCTCTTCACTCAAACCATCGCTAATGACTCTGGTGAGAAAACTTCACTGTTCAACTTCTGTGGTAAATTTCTGTTGAATTTTCTGTTGAATCACTTAACCACATGAACCTCTTTTAAAACAAGCATCATAAGTTATATGTTAGATATGCAAAACGTTACCTTATATAGTTTATGATTAGGTCTGCACAGAAATTTCAAGCATGTCTGGTTTAAATATTAATGTTATGTCTGATACATTACATGCATTCTTCATTTTTTAAGCTCAATATCCTGTGATTGCTGCAAGTGAGCTGCGGCAAGAACTCGAGAGTCTGCAATACCGGGAGCATAAGCGACTCGCCATCCAGGGTCGAATCACAGCCGTGCGTTTTGTGGCACATTCAGAGGAGCACAATCAACCAGCAGAGGTGGCTGCCCTCTTTCACATGGGTGCCATATTCTGTTCTTCCACAGCTCTTTCTAGTTGTTACTCTAAACTGTGTGATTTTTTTCCAACCTTTGATTCCAAGCACTTTCCAAAAGCAGTATCCTAAAAGCTACTTTTATGAGTTTGGGCTCTGGACACACACTGGTAACTTGGTTAGTTGAGTTGGTGCAACATCACGACTAAAGCTCTCATGTTGTTTACAGCCAGGAAGGAATACCATGGGTCTCTATTAAAAGTACAAAAATATATATTAAATATAAAAATATCTATTAAGTATAAAAATCTTTACTCTTTTTTTAACGCACAATAAAAGTATATTGGTATGAATGGTATTGTCTCATCTGATATATTGTTTGGAAATATATCAATATACCATCAAAATTCAATATATACTAGCTCTATTTGGAATTAATCAGTTGTGTATTCAGAATCATTTTTGAAGCCTTTGCAATATAAAGATACGTATGTTTATTGATATATCCATAACAGTAAAATGGGTCTGATAGCTAACCCTCCTCCCTCTTTGCTTTTCATTATTGTTTAAGCAGCCTAGATCTGTAATAAATGAATCAGGAAATTTTATAGTCAGAGGAAGGCAGCCAGTATTTTACTGTTATTGAAAGGTCATTAGTGAGAGGATAAGGAGTGGTATTTAAGTGCTGCATTCCTTTCTGGTGCAGGCCCTGCCCTCGGAAGGACTCACCATCAGCACAGCAGATGGACACACCGGGGGTGTGGAAGCAGACACATTGCAGACACTGGCAAATGCGATGGGGCCTGCAGCTGAGAACCCCCCTTCCACCCAAAAGCGAAAGAAAAAGCGAAACAAGAAGCAGTATGTTTAAGTCACCTCTGCCATTTTGGTTCCGCATTTGGATCAACTCAAAGTGCTAGCCCTGTATACATTCTTAGCACACTCATAATTTTACATTTACGTATAGTGAATAATAGCCCCATTGACTTGCAGGTCATCGCATCTCTTTTTTTTTTTTTTACAGAAATGTCAAACGACGGTACATCACTCGTGCAGCAGTAAAGATGCTGAGGTAAGAACATTGTAATATATGTTCAAGAAGATTTTTCTTGAAAAGGCGGAAACACCTTTCGGAGCAATTGGAGGCCACAGTAATGACAGTGGTATTGTGTCATTTGTTTGTTAGACCCAGGTCTCCTAGAGCACTCTGCAAATGGATGTTAAATGGTTGTGTCAGATGGTTATTGCAGGAATATTTTTAGGAAGGTGATGTTGATCATTTTAGGAAGCATGATCAACAACAGGAGGAACTGTCAGAGGAAGAAAGGACTAGTTCTGAAATGGAGGAGGATGAAGGTGACAATGGCTTGTCAAACAAAAATGACCTAGTTGCTGGTACCAGTGGACAATCAGATCTTGCAGGTATCGCAAATATATGGATTCTTCATTTTCTTTCATTATTACCACAAATGAAACACTTGTTCACAGCTCTTTCTGTACTGATGGTTTTTCTCTAGACCAGTGGACTAGGACTCCTTTTAAAAAGGCATTCAAATGTATTTAATATAATAGATTTTTCATTTGAAGAAAATCACATATTACTTTTACAGTTGTACTTAAAGGCCTAGCGCATCATTGGACAGTAGCCAAAGCCTATTGTTTGCAAAGACCATGAAAGGTGAAACTTGCAATGTTGTCATATTACTGGAATGACGAAGAAACGGTAATATTTAATAACACATTTTTATTTCTTTAGCTACTCACAGGACAGAAACTCCAGCAGAAATGACAAAAAAGTCATCTTTATTGTGACAAGAAATTAAAATAGCAATTGATTGACATTAAACAACTAACAAATGCTTATATGCATAAAATCAAATGTTGCCTTTGGTTCAGACCACATCTAACTAGACTTGAGCGGTATCAAATTTTTCATACTATCCAAGCAATACACCATGGTATACGGTATTTTCAAAAGCAATGCTATTGCCCTGTTTTGGTTAAAATTTGCAAGGTTGGGGCCTCCCCCCAATAGAAATTCCAAGCAAAATTCAAACAGGTTCCACACTGTGGTTTTCAGGTATTCAGGAGTTGTATGATCACGTTCTTCTTGTGATTCACATATTTTGCTAGTTTCTCGATTGCTAGTTTCAACCATTCTTGCTAGCTGAATAAAACTCTGCCCCTAGTGAAAGATGTGTGCTCTTAGTAAATAAAGTGTTAATGACTAAGGACTAAGAATAACCCGCATACGTCTTCAAAAATTCAACAGTGGATTTTTGCCATTGATTACCTCTATATTTTTTTTATTTGAATTTTATTCAAATAAGATGGGAAACAAATGGATGAAATCACTAGAAAATTATTATTATTATTTGTTGCAAATACTAACAGACTGATTGTATTTTATTATTAATTCTAATTTTACCATGATTATGTTTAAAATCTAGAATGCCAATTTCATGATACTCTGTGTGGAAGTAGATTGGAAGTAACTGTACATGATAGCTGTCTGGCATCAAGCCCATCAAACATCTGAAGGTAAATTTAAAAAAACCTCATTGTGACCCCTGAGACCAGAACAGGGCAGCTGAGCTTGGTGTTATTGGAAAATCTAGTAGTGTTTGGCATGACATCACCTTTCCTATTGCTGTACCTCATAACTGTTCCTTAACTGAAGACACTCAGTCCAAGGTAGTGTATTTCTAAAATTTCATGTCTTGCAACAACGATGTATTGCTTGAATTATACAGGAATGACAGATCTCCAAGATGAAAACTATATGTGAAGATTAACTTTTACAATGAATGTTATCTGTGTTTACCTTGCAGTGTTTACCAAATGGTTTAACACTGTATAGTCACACTCCGTTTCTTCTATACAGAAGTTCAAAGTTTAGAAGGTGTGACTCCATTAACAGGGTAAATTACCTGTATGCTTTTCCTTTAGACACTTTATATAGTTTGTAAAAAGTTCTATAGAATACTATTTTGCAACAATGGAACATTAATCACAATGGCATTATAGTGACAAGTTCCTTTCTGGAGTATGTGTCTATAACATTGGTAGTACAGCGAACATGATCCCTACACTGGGTGAACAAAAGGGGTGTGTGATAAGGCACCTACTCTTTTATTGAAATAGGTGAAAGGTGTGGTCTATTTTTAATTATACCTTTTAAATCAAATTTAATATACAGAACATGAAGTGGAGGAGTCAGGATAAAGAAGTATTTTAGGCTAAAGCTTGCAGCGTGGATTGTGTTCCTATGTCTGGGAAATCACAGCATAAGAAGGATCTTTGCTTTTGCTTTTTGCACTGCACTGCACTGCACTGCAGTTTGGTATTTGAAGCACTGTGGGACATTGCAGCATCTGAAATGTCCCACCATCTAAAAGGCAGTCTAAGGCGGGCCCTGCAGTCAAAAACCATCCATTGAGGGGAGAAAAACGAGGCTGGCAGGAATTTTGCAGATCAACAGAATGTCTGCAGTTAATAAACTGAACAACACGCAGAATGGCCTGCAAAATAGTCATTAACACGTCTGGTCATCCAATGGCTGTGAAAAGTTACATTTTTAAAAATAAAATTAAAATGTAATATTTAGTTATTGCTCAGCTAGCTGCACCGATTAGCAGAATGAGATAACATTGTTTTTTATTCTGTGGGTCAAGAGATCGATCTGCAGGCCAGATTTAATAATGAATTATAAGTGGTGAATGAGCCAATTAAAACCCTCGTCCTCCGCTATGGAAAATGACTGGTCGTTCAGTGCAATCATCTCCATTATTTTCATTTATAAGATGACTGAATTCCTGAAAATCCTATTACAGAAAATACTTGGATTGCTTCAGCCAGTAATCAGGGTGTACTGTCCATTCTATGGTTTAGACTTCATATGCTCACATCTTCTTGCACTGTATAGATATTATGCAGTATAAGTTGGGAAGAAGCAGATAAAAAGAGGCAAAACCTCTATGTAACGTAACAACATATAAATGACGATCAAATGAAGCCCTGGAAAGAGGCTTGGTGGTATTTTCCTATGTATAAAAGGACATCCAGTGGATTGAACATAGACGTCTTTACACATTACATGCAGCAAACTAATTCCTGTGTTTCTCTCGGATCCTGATGACTTCGTTGACCCGCCGGTGTGATGCACCCAATCGTGTAACAGCAGAAGAAACGCTCGCAGACGAGCAGCCCAGTGCATACTGGGAAAGTGAGGCATGGGAGACGCTGAAGAGGGACTTGTCAGAACATTTTCATTTTGATAGGCTGGACAAAGAGAGCATTCCGAGCAAGTTCAAGTTTGAACTCAAGGATTATCTCCAGTGTCAGAACAACTTCCACCCTACCAATTGGACACAAAATCAATTTCTACCTGACCAGAACATAAAGCAATTGTCCCCTGTGGGCTACAAGGGCTACTACCAAATCACCATATTGGGTAAGGTTTGTTTGTTTGGTGACTATTTTAGAACTTCCTGTGTCACATGTAAATTCATGCATTATTGATACATACTCCTTTTTTCTGAAACTTACAAAGTCCAGATAAAGTCCAATCCTTTGCAAATTGCAAATGTCCCGCTCTGAAATGGCATTTAAAGTTGTGTTCCTTAACATTATATGTTACTGTGCTTTCTTCTCCCATGAGGCATAAACCAGCAAACAGCCATTGATGCTGTGTTCCTGCCTGTGCTGTCATCTGAAGACCCAAGAAGTGTAGGGCTGCCTCCAGCATCACACAGCAATTCACTGCTTTCCTGTCTGGCCTCTGGATTCCTCTACCCCTTAAGTGACTTGGCAGGCCATGAGCAGTCACTCCATCCTGACCCTGGTAAGATATGTAGGAGACCAGCCCGTGAGTATGGCCCCATCCGCAGGTTCAGCTAGTGCGTGCATGCATTTGGCTTTCTATTTGCCACATTGTGGGGACCACATTTATCCAACTTTTGGGTTACCAAGGAGACATTTTTCAGGCACCCAGAGTATAAACCTCAATTTTTTAAAAATCTGTAAATGCAACCAAACAACTAAAATATCCAGATGTCTTGTATTTTGTTTGGTTACTTACGGTTAAGGTTAGGGCTGGGTAGAGGTTAAGGTTGCCATAGTTGGGATTAGAGTTTTGCCCATAGAAGTGAATGGAGAGTCCCTACAATGACAGGGATGTATGTGTTTGTATCGTCACTGTCCAATGAAAAACAACTATCTCCAAAAATCTGCTACTTCAGAAGCATGAAAAATTCCATTTTCACAGAAGTTCTTCATCAAAAAAACCTAAAACAACATAATGAGACACCTTTAGCACCACAAATAGAAACACATCTTTACACAGCCTTCAGTGAAAGGTTTAATTTTTTAAAAGGATTTATGCTGATTGTTGTCAATGAGGCAAATATGTCAGCGTCATCAAGATGCAAACTAATCTAGTTTGATATTCACAATTAATGGTGTTATTTAGCTAGCTATCAATGTTAATTTGTTAAAATTAGTGATATAATGTAATCCATATAAACAACCATCCTGAATGAAAATGTTAACTAGTACAAACATAAATATTAAATAGATGACTGTAAATGTGCAAGTTCCATCTATAGTTAAAACGTGTAACAATTGTCAAAAAGTGGACATACACAGTTTCCGTCGGACAGCGATAATATGCATGTGCTTAACAATATATAACAGTACTGAGTATGTTACTGGTGTTTCTTGCCCTTAATTAGAAAAATTTAAATCTTTATTTCCAGGGGGTATCATACAGAGTGGGGCTGAGCTGGAAGCCACGCCTGTCGTGTGCCTCATCGATTTCTGCCGTCTAGCTGGACAGAAGGTGGAAGTTCTTATCAACAAAGTGTATAAAATGGCCGACGTTGTTTTTGTGTAAATAGAGCATTACAACACCACATTAAGGACAAAATTTACCAGCTGTTTTTTATAATGAATGAATTGTATTTATATTTTTAAAAAGCTAATGTATGATTGTGCTGCTTGGTATAGGTTTAAAAAAAAAAAAGAACAATAAAGATTTTTTTTTAGCTTTTCTACTGTGTCCTGCTTAATCATCAAGTTAGGGCTGTCTTTAAACACGTACCAAACAGGCCTCGACTATTGTTAAATCATGTATTAATATGAATATCGATTGTGCTTTATGCTACCTGGGATCAGTTTCAGGCCCCAACACCTTGACCAGAATAAGCATTCGGAAAATGGAGGAATAGATGTATGGGTAGAGTATGGATGTTTAACAAGTCTGTGCTTGCAAAAAATATCTCTGCACATAAATTAAATACAATAAGTATATATTATACACGCATACGGTATATAAAATATTTTGAGGTGTGGAATGTAGATTGCTTTGAAATAGAGTGTCTTCAGCCTAATGATGTAGTTTGAATGTCTCATTCAGGTGACTGACAGAGAGCAACATGCTAGGAAAACCAGTGAGTCTTGATCTGTACAATACATCTGTTCAGACTGGTTCCTAATCAGTAAGCTTTCTGTTTGCTGTTCAGCATTATGCTGCCTGGACACTGTTTCACAGCCACTTGACTAGTTTGTTCATATAATTGTTCATAGCTGATTTACCCAGGTGTTATTACCAAAAGGTGGATTTAAATATTATAGAAGCTTGACAGTTTTTAAATGCTTATTTTCATATTTCAATTGATTTGTTTTAACTTGGTTGACTGTTGTTCAGTGCTTAGGTGTTCAGACGGACATGTATAGTTATCTATACTTGACCTGTCTAATTAATCCTCTGTTAATGCACAAGAGAATTTATTGAATTATTGAAGGGCAAACTGAGAAAAAAAAAAACTGTGTGTGTGTAATGAAGGCAAGCACTCATGGACAAGCCCTAGGGCAGTAATCTAGATCTATTAAGATAACAGGAACGACGTGTGACGTAGAAGGAGATTGGGTTACCCAAGGGACGTCACTTTACAGCAAACAGCAGTTCAAATAGCCCCTGATTAGACTCAAGCTGAAGGGAGCTGTTTTGTAGATTGTTTAAAGAAAAGAATGTGCAAGAAAGGTACATCTCGTGGCATTTGCTCTTTCGTATTACTCTGGTTTACTTCCTTCGCAGTTCAGAATGGATCGGCCTCTGTGACAGCTTTTGTTGAAATACGATATTTGAATGCAAGCAGCAATCAGGTGGTGAGGCAGGTTTGTGAATGTGGATGGTATGGAATGCAATCTCTAATAGCTATTGCCTATGGACAAGTGGAGCTGCCTGCAGAAAACCTCACGGCTTGTGGCCCTCATGTCCGGTTCAACAGCTCGGCTGATTCATGGATTGCTCTCATTGAAAGGGGGGACTGCACTTTTTCTGAAAAGATCAATTCCGCCCTTAAGGCAGGAGCGGCTGCTGTGGTCATTTTCAATGATGCAGATTCAAGAAATGATGACAGAGCCATGTCACATCCTGGTAAGGCTTTCGGTTTCCTGCCCTCTGCTGAAGGCTTTATATAGCATGTTCACATGAAATATGTGTGAAATACATCATCGTGCTTATGTGCCTGTTACTGTGTTGTTCCACGCAATAAAATAAACAGGCAGACAGTTTTACTTCTAATATCACGTTCATATGTTTTTATAAAAAATTATCCAGTCATACACCAATTAAACCAAAACAGAAGCAGGAAGATATTCAGATCCCTCAAAAGGGTCCCATTTACATTTCTCAACCCAGTCCTCAGGGAGAGAGCAAGAATGTAGACTGGGTGGAGAAAGTTTTACTACATGTAGAAGTATTTCAGATAAATGTCCAGCATACTCTGTAATTTTAGTTCAGCTATGATTTTGGAACGTCAGTGTTTTCTCATCTCTTGTCCAAGGCCATAGATTTAGACTGTTGGATTGTACCAATATTGTAGGAATATTGTGTAAGTTTAGCAAGGTGGTTCGGGGCTGATTTGGCCCCTACCGTCACTATGGGAGTACCGTGTGGTAGCCAGGTGGATCGGGGCCGATGCGGCCCCTACCGACACTATGGGAGTACCGTGTGGTAGCCAGGTGGATCGGGGCCGATGCGGCCCCTACCGACACTATGGGAGTACCGTGTGGTAGCCAGGTGGATCGGCGCTGATGCGGCCCCTACCAACATTTATGGGAGTACCGTGTGGTAGCCAGGTGGATCGGGGCTGATGCGGCCTCTATCAAAACTGTGGGTTTTGAGTACTCTGGAGTAAACTGTGTGTTTAGGGGGTGGGGCTACGGGGCTGATTTGGTTCTTACTAATATTAAAACCAAACCTACGCCCTTGTCCTTGTTTAGTTCCGTACATGGGTTATATTTACCAGCAAACCAACGACATGGTGGTTTCACAATGTAATGGTTTTACCTAAAATAAAGCTGGAGAGTGTGACATCCAGTTGAGTGCTACAACACAACGTTTATTGATACCTTAAAAAGCCATAATATAATCACAAGGTACATACTTTTCTGTGTAGATAAATATTGTGAATAATAAATATGGAATAGTAAACAGTCACTAAACAGTCATTTAAAAAATCCTTGTGTTCATTTCAGTAATCGACTAATCCTCGTTCACAGCTAAGAGAAACAACTCGTTTTCTGTCATATCCGTTTCTTTTTTAAGGACTTTGATTGCTCTGTCGGTTTATTTGTTTCAAGAAGTCAGCTGCAATGTTTTATAAGTATACAATCCAATGATCTAAGTATATGTGCTAATGATTTAGCAATGTTTATTGCCCATACCGATCACGCTGACTTTTGTACGCACAGAGGTCAATGACCCTCAGTGTTTTTGTGTGTGTGTGTGTGTGTGTGTGTGTGTGTGCGTGCGTACAGTATTTTGCATGTTCTCTCACTATTGGCGTGAGGTTACACTCAGGCATGAGTTAGATGGACCGATGACTTTAAAGCGCGTGAATGTATGTACCATCTAATGAGGTCACATTCCGCCCAGGGTGTCCCCTGATCCCAGCACCCAGGCGGACAAAGACCCTGCACCGAGAAAGCAGTTACGCAAGATGCGCGGATGGATGAACAATAGTCTGTCGGGAGCGTGCAGATATTTATCTCATCCTGTCCTGCCACCCCTAGGGGACGACAAGTGGTTATGGATCTCACTAAATGATGTGGCAGTGTTCTGTACGCGGTGTCTATCCCGTAAATGTCAAAGAGCTACTAAAAACAAAAGTGCGTTATGTTTTCAAAGTAGGAAATGCCAATCCGATTAAATGACGAATACTTGCTTGTGAAATCCCTGCTTGAAATGAAATCGGAGGTAATTGGTACGCGGCGCCTTTAAGCAGGACGCGCGCGCCTATAGTTTCTTTTTGACCTCAACTAGGCGGAGCGTCAGCGGGATCCAACTAAAGAAGTTCACCTGTCAAGTACTGAAACTCGACAATTAAAGCCGTTGTGCCTTCTTCCTTTTTGTTAGTGAAATTTGTCGGAACGCGAGTCTTATGGTACTTTTAAAAATATTCCACTAAAAGCGGGACTTAACAGTGGACGCCTACAAATATGGGAAGCAAGACGGAGCTGTGTTTGTTTTCGTGGCTCTTAGCGGCTCTAGTCCTCCAGGTGTCGAGTTTACACTTCGCACAGGCAACGTACATATGCACGGCGTACCTGAATGTCTCCTATGTGGAGCCGAGGAGTAACGAAACGGTGTGGCGTCGAGAGGAAAGCGGGCTTTACGGGCAGGATTCGCCGAAAGCTTCGGCGACGGGAAACGTCTTTCTGCCCGACCCGATATACGGTTGTGAGCCGCATACTTCCTACGACGTCCCCGATAACTCCAAAGGATGGATCGCCTTGATTCAGCGGGGAAATGGATGTACCTTTTCTGACAAAATAAATGTGGCTGCCAGTAAAGGAGCTATCGCCGCCGTAATCTTTAATGAACCCGGCCCAGATAACAGGGTTATACAGATGTCGCACCCAGGTACGTTAAAAAATTGAAATTTATTAACTAACTGGTTGACAACCACATGTGAATAAACCTTTAACTGTGGAAACTTCTCTGTTTTAAAGGCTGTTTATCCAAAATGGATGAACTAAATATTCTTATACGTTTGACTTATCGGCCAGGTAGGCAGGTATATACCGAGAGCCGTCAGCCTTCCCGAAAGGGGTTAAAGTGCGAGGGCTATAGACCTTATAGTCACGGTGTTTATGGATGCAAAGTATGATTAGAGAGATGGCTGGTCTAAGTTTTAACTGTAGTGCTGATATGTATTTGGAAAGCATTTAACGTGAAATGTTCCAGTACAATGTCCAGGTGTCCAAATGTTATTTGGCTGTGTTAGATTACCGCTATGGTCTTTCTGTCCTAAACGCCACAGACACCCCGCGATCGCTGCATATCGCAAATCATATCTAAATCCGATTGCTGTATTTGGCCTCGACACACGGCATGTAAAGAAAGGAAGAATTGCATGTAAAAACTTGTAAAAATTGAAAGTTTTGAAATATGGATGCAAAATGGAAAGACAGATCCGGGAAAAAGCAAACCTGAAAAACCGTTTGGTTTTTTCCGGGAAAACAAACCTGAAAAACCGTGTTCCGGGGTGTGGAGTAAATTAGAGGCGATGTGGAGCTTGGCTTTAAGTTGGTAGTCTGCTTGGTTGGAAGATACAGGGACTAAAGACTTATCAGCTGAAGCACTGACTTGTGACTATCTATGTAGCATAACATGGCACGATAACCCCCCCCCCCCATAAAACGATTTTTTTATAGTATGCCAATACTATGTGTATTTACTGATGGAAAAATTGTCACACATATTAATTTGCCATTAGAAAGTGTAGCTTGGCTTATATTTAATATTAAGGGCATTTTGTGTTGTGTGATTAAAGTGGTCGCTTTAGAATTGTGGTAATATTTTTTTCAGAAGTTATATTATATCTCTGAGTTAAATTTGTTTCCGGTTTGGCCAGTTTGGTGTGTAATTACTTTTCTGAACTCTCAAGTCTTTCCATAGGTTGGATCAGCGTGTCTGGTCATAATCTCAGTATCTTTGCTTGAGTGTTTCTCGTAGAGTAAATGGGAAAAATAAGGTTTACACCACCTGAAAAATGTCAGGTCGCACAACCAGAAAACATTTCTTTTTTTCCCAAATGAAAACTTCCATAAAATAAACGTGTGATGCATCGCAGACACGTTAATTCCTGTTTGTTCGCATTTATGATTAGTAGTAATATTAACTGCCCTTTGCCACCTGACTTTTCAAACTCACTTTAAATTAAATAGGCATCTGCTTGGATACCCGTGTAAACTTTAGTCCTTGGTATAAATTTATACATACATTTTTTTAAAAAAAGTTTTATTATATAAACAATATATTCATGGTTTTGCCACCTGACATGAATACTGTGCAACCCTAACCATGAGGTGTAATTTTTGTCAGTATTGGAATTGGATCTAGTAATTGTTTCACTACACCATGAAGGTCACTTAGGATATTCTTTATGATGTAACTTCTCGTCTGTTGTTTTCTAAAATGGCTTTAAAATAAAAGCCCTCTTTCCCTGGTTGTGCCAAGACATAGAATTATTCCTAACTAGTGCTGTAATTGTACACAAAATTCATGATTCCGTACTTACCTCAGTTTTGGTTTCACAATTTTACAATATTGGTTTCACAAACAAATAGAATTTGTTTTTAAATGATTTAGTACAAAAACTACAAACACTATAAGGGACAGTTGTAAACCAAAGGCAAGGCATCTGTTGACATGTCTGAATAACAAAACCTAAAATATTTTTACTTGCACATCACAACAATATTTAAAATAAATTTCAAAAAATATATATCATAATCATAATGAATTACATCTTGTCTAAATCCCACATTTCTTGGTGCTGATTTTGGTCAAATATCTCTAGTGATAAACCATTTTTAGCCTGTGTTTAAAGAGCAATACATATAAAATACTATATCTACATTTTACTTATAAGTAGCATTTGTATCATCAAACAAATTATGGGTGAAATGCAAGCATCCAACGACAGATTGCAACCATCACAGTTATAGCTACCTAGTAAACTTAAACCTAGTAATTGTGGTTTTTGCATTGGTATTGAAATAAAAGCCAGCTTTGCTGAAGAGGTAATGCTTGAAAAATGGAAGGTGTTTTCCTGAATTGGCTAGTTGGCTGGCTGACTCCTTCCGTGTTTTGTTTGATTTATGAGCAGCCTGCAGAACTGGCTTTTGAGAACTTTTCATGTATTTGGCAGATGCTTTTATCCAAAACCGTCCCTGGAGTGATTGGGATTAAGGGCCTTTCTGAATGGCTCAGCAATGAAATCACTTAGCTGATTACAGCAATTGAAGTCTTTTGGTCTAGTGCATTTTTGTGATGTTTGTTTATATTAGAATTTGTGTCATATGCTGTTCCAGCGAGGCTTCTTAATGTACATAATTGTTTTAAAACGTAATTTTTATTTAAACTTTTTGTTCCATTTTTATTTCTTCACTGTTACTGTGTTTCAAGGATTCAATATCCCTGTATTTTTGGTTTTCAAAAGTACTGTAGGAAGTGTCATACTAATCTCCAGCTGAATGCTGGATTTGATATCATTAGATAAGCTTTGGTCCATGTGAGAATTGGTTTAGTTTTCAGTTTACTGGTAACTTCATCGGTCATCTGAGAGGTCTTACTCTAGGGGCTGAAATAGACCACCTCATGCTTGTCATTTGTGGGAATTGAACATATTACAAAATGTCACTGCAAATTCTCTTTTTCATTTCCGGTGGTTCTGTACTATCTATTGCCATTCTTATTGCATCAGTTTTGCATTAAAACACTATTTCACTATATCATGTTTATCATGTTTATGTAATCAAATTGCTGAGTTAAGATGAAGTTGTTTCTGCTTGGCAAGTTGAACTGCATAGCTTACAGTTTCACCGTTCACCCTTCTATGGAGATGGGTAATTTGTTGGAGCCAATCGTGCTGGGTGCCTTTCACAACAGTGCTGAAGCTAATCCTCTTTTGGGACAACCTATAGACATGTGGATCCCAGAGGGTGTTTACTTTTTAAATTTCAAATAAACAATTGGATATCTTCTTTGCACATTCATACACTTTCAGTATACTTGAGGAAGTATATCTGTCTGTTGTGTCTCATTTTAAATGCTTCTATTCATTAAGTTCCAACCAGCTCAATGCAGTCTATCTTGATCAGTTCCTGCTTGTTTTGCTTTCGGAACTATTTTGGGTTTTCCTTGACCTGGATACAGACAGGTTAATTATGTTTATTCTGATACGTAAAACCTGTGGTTTGGTAACAGGTTGAGCTCATCATTTGCAAATAGTGCCAGAGCAGAACCTACACAAGTGGAGTTGGAACTGGAGGCTAAACTAAAATATGAGAAAATATAGTATTCAGTTAATTTGAAATTTACTGTTTATTTACATAAACTGAACAAAAAAGTGGCATTATTTTTCAGTGTATTGGTGAAAATCATGTTTAACATGCCTGGTGATGTAGAACTGTTGAAGGCTTAAAGTTGGGGAGAGGGAGATTTTACTGTCTTCATTCATGGGTTAATGTGAACGATTCACAGCTTCATAGCCTGGATGAGGATTTAGATATAAACCGATTCAATAAAAATGCAGAATTAATCTTGCTGTTTATTTTACCCCGGCATTATTATAAGAGCCTGGTGTGGTGACTCTGTGCAGCACTGTTGCCTCATACCTCCAGCATTGAGGCTTTGAATTTCACCTCTGCTCTGTGTGTGTGCGTTACACGGCAAGCTGCACAGGTCTCCTTCCACAGTCCAAAGACATGCTGTTAGCCTTGTGACCCTGTAACCAGATAAGCAGCTGGAAGAAGCATGGATGGCTGCTTGGATGGCTGCCCTTTCGTGATCTGTTTACCTTTAATGCACTGTTATTACTTTAGTAACATATTTTTTTTAAAGAACAGCTAGCTACCTAATTTACAGATATAATTAAATTCAATTCTGAGATTTAATTTCTGTGTTAATTTTAGTCAAAAGAAATTTGACTGTTGATTTCCCTGGGGAACAAAGGTGTAAAAATGAATGCAACCTATTTTGGTGATTTAATTGTATTTTTATAGTAAATCTATCCTTTGCAATAAATACTGTATCTTATTTTCTTGCCTTTGTTACTTTTTTTGTAAAGGCTTTTGAATGAATCTAAATGCTCCTTACCATATTGATATGGATGTCCTTCAAACTGATCTAATTATTAAAAAAAGATAAATCTAGGAAGAAATACCCATTTTTAGGGAAATATTGTATTAAACACACTTTAATAGATTTAAATACATTTGGCCAGTGATGGCTTGGTGTGGTATTGGGAAGCAGCTGCTAAGGTGGTCATCTTATGCGGTGCATATTCCTCTGTACCTTCCCAGGAACTGGGTACACTGTGGCCATCATGATTGGCTACCTGCGAGGCATGGAAATTGTCAATTTGATAAGGAACAACACAACAGTGACCATGACCATCGAGGTGGGAAAGGAGCACGGTCCCTGGCTGAGCCACTACTCCGTCTTCTTCGTCTCCATCTCCTTCTTTGTGGTGACGGCTGCTACAGTCGGCTACTTCATCTTCTACTCTGCTCGCCGGCTACACACCATAAGGTTGCAGAACCGAAAACAGGTGAGAAGCCACCTACTGCCTGGCTAAAGCAGCTTAGCTACAAGCATAATATGAACTATTACAAAATTTGTTTGAAAAATGTATTTGAAAACTTCACTGCTTAGTTATTTTCTTGCTTTCCAAAAAAAAGTTAGCATCACTTTTCTGCTGTAGTTATTGATGAAATCCTAGTGCTCACTGGCCAGTTCTACAAGAAAATCGTGTTCAACAGAAAAAGTATCAGTATTTCACAAATGATGCACCAAAGACACCCAGTCACACTTTTTTTTTTTTTCCTCTACACAAGTTTCCTTGTACTAAAACTGAGCACACATTATTTTATTTTTTTTTACTGTTAAAAACCAGAGCTGCAACTTTTTTATTTATTAGTTTACACTGCAGATGACAACGCTGTCATTCATTGTGAACACCTAACTAGACCAGACTGGGGTGATTTTCCTGATTTAACTAGTTTTGAACCATATTTTTGGTAGATGAATACAGGCTTAAAAGTAATAGACCTCTCGCCTAATAATTTATCTGTAATGTGCCTAATTTGTGAATCATGAGCAAAGCAGAACAAATTAACCCCAGCTGTAAGGTCAGTTAAGGTACAATTGTTGAAAGGATATGAACAAACATTTGACTTAAGGAATCAGCAGGGGGAAAAAAATGCTATATGCAGATTATTAGAGATGATCTGCTGTGTCATGGTATTGCCCCCCTGTCTGCCATTATCAACTGCTGGACACATAAGAAGGAAAACCCTTTAAAATGTGTTTTTTGGTAAATGTATATTTATTTAAATAGTCAAGTAATACAATTTGTTTTTGTATTTTTGCTATAGAGGATGTAATGGAGTAATAACATTTATTCCCAGAACTGCCTTGCAGCCTGGAATTGTCATGTGTGCTTCTCCAGTGTGATTCGTGACAAGTTCTGCCCGCTGGAAAGATGCATGACATGCACAGAGTCCTCACACACACAGCCAGTAAGGACTGGGACAGTCCAGAACTCGGGGCTTTCCTGTCACGTGTGTGTCAGCTGTACTGAGGCGTTCCACTGGTGTGTGCTTGTGGAATGGTTCCTAGGTCATTATTAAAAATCAAACCAACACTTTAATCTGAAGCAACTTGCACAGTTTACAAGCATGACCTTTAACCTTTCATGCAATTGGACATTTTTACTATAACAATTCAGACGTGTGTTGTTTGCAGAACTACTCAGGTTGATCTGGTACACTTTTGGTGATGGATTCACGTCTTTAATTCTCAAAAATTAACTAAGAGAAACTGGTCTGTTTAGTGACTGGGGTGTTTGCTTTTTATGTGCGCAGGTGTGTAGTGTACGTGTCAAAAAACCTTGCATAGCAGGATTCAAGTGTATGCTTTGTGATCTCATGCCTTACCTGCCCTCTGAAACCAGAGTTGAAGGCAGGGACATGCAATAAGCTTTGCACATTAAATATTTAGACTTTGCATCCTGTCCTGATCTAGTGAATGGAATAATTGAATAAACTTTTTTTTTTTTTTTTTGGTAAATGTTAAGTAACACTGTTTTTGAATAGGCTACATTGCCTAATTCTGCTATTCTCATTCTTTTGTTATATACCACTATATGAGGGCATAGAATGGATAAAATTTTCTGTGTAATTAATGGAAAAACTGTGACGCTGCATGTTTTTTACAGCATGCTATAGAATTCCCTTTTGTTCCGTGTTATACTTAAACTCCACCAGTATTCTGCTCATGCTGCTCTTTCCAGTAAAACTCCACCAGTTGGCAAAGTGGGTTAGTAGAAAGTCTTCTATTATGCAGGAACTCAATAGCTGATGTGAGACCTCACCCACAGAGCTGCTAGTGACACTACAGCAGGCCTTTGTTTGTATGCAAAATTCCACGCCTCTGTCATGCAGAATGGCCACAGTGGTCTTCCACCAATGTTTCTTTGAGACGCCACTGAAAAATTGGGGGTATTACATAGTGGATAGTAGTGAAGAACAGTACTCTGTTGGAAGTACTGTTTAGTGTCGACCTTCTCTAGGTTGTTCACCTTGCTCTGACTGTACAGCTGGAGTGTGCAATCTTACCCACAAAGGGTCAGTGTGTGTGCAGGTTTTTGGGATAACTTGTAGGTCAGCTGTTCAAACCCAGGTGTTAGGATTCTTCAGCCAATCAGTCATCTAATTAGTAATCTAATTGGAGAATTGCAGCAAAAACCCACATGCATAACAGCCCTTTCTGGATAAGATTGCCTGTCCCTACTCTAGAGGCAAATACCGCTAAATACTAGTGCCCTTTGTAAGTTTTAAGAAAGCTGTGTTTCTGTACTTTTAGTTGTCGGTTGAGAATTTGCTGGTTTCTAATTAATACATTAATACAGTGTTTTTCCCCTATTGCATGCATTTACAATATGAATTTGTTGCGTAGAACTTAAGAATATTTGTTTTCTGAAAGCTGACGTAATGTTTCCAGTGAGCAGTCACAGGGGGTAGCTTAATGAAACCAACATTGCTGAGCCTCTGTAATGAAGCTGCTACTCTAGGCTGCTTCTGTTCATGAGGGGCAGGCAGTGACATCACTCGCCTTTGTTTTTCTTACCCTGTGCACCACTGTACACTTGCAGTGGTAACTAAGAAGGAGTTTCCAGTGCATATTTCATATTACAAATGTGAATTAAAACCTAAAGTATGAACTTAAACTTTGGTGCAAGTAGTTCAACAGTATTTAAGTGCATGCAGAACCATACAAACAAATGCATTGTTTAAAATTGCAATAAACAATACCACACTTGTTTTCCATTGTGTAGGTGCACACTCACTCACTCGCTCACACATACAGTCAAATTATGCACTGCAGTTCACTGCAGCTGCATGTATTTGGCTGTGGGAGGATAACAATGGTTTGAGTGAACACGCATATACATGGGGAGAACATGCGAAATCCACATACATCAAAGCGGTGGAGTTTGGTGACACTGTTATCCACTGTGCCAGCCTCAATACAGATTGTCCCCAAGTTACAACTGGGTTCTGTTTCAACAGACAAGTCGTATGTCGGAATTGGAAAGCCCATGTTTTTTTGTTTTTTTTTAACGCCATTTGTAACATCCATATAATTTAGTAACTGAAAAATAGCTTGGTGGTGTTCTGGAATGGGGGGGATGTCTGAATACATACCTTTCTCCTACCACCCCCCATCCAATATTTTCATACTGTACTGAACATTCCACTGGCAGAAGCCAGCAGGCATTTCAGACACTTGATCATAGACATTGACATTTCAGCTGTTTTTCTACACAATCCTGTAGGTTCTCGCTTTCCTGCAGTGACTAATGTATGGTGCACACTAGGTGGGGTTGTGCTGCTGGGCGTACGGCTGCCTGAAATTTATTTTTACAGACATTTACTTAAAAAAATAAATAAATAAAATTAAAAAAAATACAAAATATCTGTGATCGTAAGTTGCATAGGTCATGATTCTGGACAGTCTGTATACTTGCACGATGTGCAACTAATATTTGCATTGCATGTTGCGCACACGCAGTTGTCACTGAAGAACTGTGATAGCTGAGTTAATAATAAAACAACATTAATAATGTTTTATTGTATTATATTATTATTATATTTATTTATTTAAACAACAGCCTAATTTTGACCCAAATCTTTGCAGAAACGACTCAAAGCGGAAGCCAAAAAAGCTATTGGACAGCTTCAGGTCCGGACACTAAAGCAAGGTGACCAGGTACTTGCCGTTAATACTTTTTGTTACTGTTCCTTACGTGTTCCAACGTGATGTGATATAGAAGGCTTTATACGCTTTTTATTCTCCTCAGTTACTGTTCTTGGCTATCGCATGTTGCACTTCACCTCTTCAGGTCCCTTGTATTTAACTGTGGGCTGAGGCAGCCAGATATTGTGCCATCTGGAATCACTTGAAACTTGTTTAGTTTCCTACACTGAATTCTGTACCTTCTATATTACAAGCATGTTTCTGTCTCACTTGTACTAACTGCACCGCACCATACACTTTGTTTATTCATTCATTATTCATTTTGTGTTTTTGAGGACAGCTTGAAGTAATTTATCTTTGCAATGTTTCTGACCAGCAAAAAATTCAGACTGGAAGCTCTTCATTGATATTTATTTTGTTTTAGGAAATTGGATCCGATGCAGACACATGCGCCGTATGTATCGAAGCTTACAAGCCTGGCGATGTGGTATCCATACTAACTTGCAAGTATGTATTGCTCTTTATTGGTATAAGATCTCCAGTGGTCTCTCTTATAGAGATGCTCTGTTTTAGACACTTGGTTGTAGACCTGGGCGATAAATGGATTTCTTCGATTAAGTTGAATTTTTGGTTTAGAACAGTGTGTAAAGTGAAAATCGTGATTCACTTTAAACTAGCTAATAGGGCTGTAGGGCTATCATAAATAATCAAGCTTTTGGAAGCAAGACAGTCTAAACAAGCAATCAGAGTGAGGTTATGTACATGTGTTTGTAAAAACTGTAAAACGTGACTATGAAGCATTTCGGATTTCGAAATTGCCATCATTAAGAAGCAAAAGACAATCTAGCGTAAGTAGTACTTGGAGGACATTCAGGTCTGCTCTCTGTCACGCCGCCTCGAACACCAACACAGCAGCAGGCCAGCGGCACACGTGTCGAGAGGAATCATCTCAACCTGGCCGTCTCTCCTCAGTCATTTGAAAGTGGTTTGGTTATGCGAAGTGCGACATAGAACAACCTACTGTCCGCTGTAAAGTTTTTCTGGAATCTCTGGCTACTGAAGGTAGCAGCACAGCAAACTTATTTTAGTGTCTCAGAGACGCAGCCAAGTGGCAGGAGTGTGCAGCTCTGTGTACAGCGGCTGAAATGCAGGCAACAGCAGCGCCGTCCTTTTTACGTTGGTGTCCAAACAATGACAAGAGATCCAGGTGGAAAGAAATTACAGATGCGGTGACGTTTCATATTGCCAAAGACATGGTGCCCATATGTACTGTACAGTGGGGGAGAAAAACTGGGTTCATTCAGAAGATAAAAATGACCCCAGATAAGAGCTTTGAAGCTGAAGGTATTTTACCAAAGTAGCTCTTCCCCGTCTCTATACAGCAGTACATGTGAAAAAATGCATACTGCTTACGTGAATAATGTCTTTGCTTATTAAAAAAAAAATCAAAATCGGAATCGTAAATTGAAAAAAAAAATTGGAGATTTAGATTTTTTAGGTCATATCGCCTAGTTGGTTGTTTCAATTGAATTCTCCAGAGTGACGATTTGATGCCATTTTTCTTCATCACCATGGGTTCCGCTTTTGTCAATGACGAGAGTGACGAGCAGCAGCGGGAACCCTGCATCAGTGCTCTATCTGCATGCAGAAGCAGCAATTTGTGGGACTGTTTCAAAACTAAGCTAACCTCAGCCCTTAATTTAGAATTACTAAGCTGTGATAATATTCATGGAGACTAACATAGATTCTATTACTGCAATGCTGTTACGCACGTACATCCAGCTAAAAATGGTGTTGAACTACGTTGAGAAACTTGAAGAAAAAAACAAGGAAATTTTTAAGAGCTGGCCTCTCATTTTGTGTGTGAACTCCATAGCTGGTAGCATGAGAACTTTGGTAACTGATAGACTGATAGAAATGGGAGGCTTTTGCATGGTGTCCGTTAGAGTATGGATAGTTTTGCATCGTGCCCATTAGAGTATGGATAGTTTTGCATCGTGCCCATTAGAGTATGGATAGTTTTGCATCGTGCTCATTAGAGTATGGATAGTTTTGCATTGTGCCCATTAGAGTATGGATAGTTTTGCATTGTGCCCATTAGAGTATGGATAGTTTTGCATTGTGCCCATTAAAGTATGGATAGTTTTCAATTGTGTCCTTTTAGAGTATGGATAGTTTTGCAGGTGGCCTTTTCTCTGAAATTTCACCAGTGCCCAATAATACTTAGCATGGGCACTAGGACAGTGAACTGCATTGTATCCCTTATGTATTTTCCTCTCAATTTCAAACCTCACTTATTGATTTAACAACTAGAAGCAGCCCAGATTCTATGAAGCCTCTGTTTGCTTTTTGCCATTTTGCATTGTGTGTCAACTTTGAAATGGAGTTTGATCAATTGGATTGAATGCAAGTAAACTTTAAGCTGGGCTGAAGGGCAGTATTTCAGACACTCATTCTTCATGTAAGATAATCTGCCACTTGCTATATGCATTTGATGACAGAATTGCATTTCAATAGAATACATTTTTTTTAATGGTTCCTTTTTTTTAACCAATCATTATAACCCCCCCCCCCCTCCCCATAGCCATTTCTTCCACAAGACGTGCATCGAGCCTTGGTTGCTGGAACACAGGACATGCCCTATGTGTAAATGTGACATCTTAAAGGCCCTTGGAGTTGAGGTAAGTGTATGGAATTCTGTAGCATTTGTATCCAAAAACGAGCCTTTTTAGTAGGACCAAGTCTGACTACAGTTTTTTATATGTTATGAAGACAAAGGATGCATTACTGTGATGTACTGTTGCAATCAGTGGCATGGTAAACTATATTTTTTGTGCATAGGGGAAAAAAATATAATTTTTGTGTAAAGACATTAAAATGGAAGCATCCTGAAGAACGTATGTACAGTAAAGATCGATGCTGTACCATTATCTGTTTTTAAGATACACACACCCCCCCCCCAAACACACTCATGTCTCGTTTTTCAACAGCCAGATGTTGAAGAAGGAACTCACCAGGTCCCCATGCCACCAGACTTCAGAATCTACCCTGAGACCCTGGAAGATGCCCGAAGTGAAACCGCCTCTTCCGGTTACGCCTCAGTACAGGGCATAGAGGAGCACGGGGGCTCTGCGGAGGAGAGGTTCACCCAGGCACCCTCAGGTGAGCAACGACAGTGATACTGCAGTTCACACCCGCTTCCCAGGACTGTCAGGGTGGTGTCCATCCATCCATCTTACGTACCTACATGTCCTATGCAGGGTCACGGGTTCCAGAGCCCAATGTGCAAGCTACAGGGAAAAACACAGGGCAGATCATCAGCCAATCACAAACATTCTCTAATTAAGAAACATGTCGTTAATACAACTGCTCACTTCCCCACACAGAACCACTGCAATCGCAGTTTTGCTGTATTTATAGTTGTCTATCTTAAAAGAAGCCAGTGTTTGGGCTGTTAATGGAAAGTATCTGTCAACAGCCATTCATTAAATAAGAAACAAAAAATGCTTAATCCAGCTATTTTACATCTATTGCATGAATAGACTTTTTTACTTCACAAAATGAAAATTGTGAACAAACACATCGTGCAGTCAGTTTGGGCTGGTTTTTATTTTTAATAAGGCTTTGGTTTCACATCAAAGTAATGTTTTAATGCTCAGATAGTGTTGGGGAGAAAATGTAAATCTAACCGTATGTTAATTTTTATTCCCGTTTTATATATTTTTGTTTTTGGGTATGGTATTTTCCGGTATGGAGCACAGACATGTTTTTGCCTGGCGTTAGCCAGTATTAAGCTCACAGATTATGCTGATCTGGTGGGATTAGCTTTACTTTTTACATAAGCTTGAGCAGCTATGATTATTTTCCTATGCAGCTGTAACACAGGGCGAAGAGAAAGCAGAGGGAGCAGACGGACAAACCGACTTACAGCCTCATTATGACAACCTGGCCTTCGAGGGAGATTCGCAAAGCCACCCAGATCCCAGGACATAAAGAGCGCAGCCAATCATCCCCCAGCAAGAGTGGGCTTTGCTTTCTGCAGAATTTGCACCAAAATCTGGCCTGTGATTGATTTGAAAAGCTGTTTTTGAGAACTAGATACATATAGTGCATGTTTGTGATTACTAATAGGAAAATGAGCACCTATGCATCTTTTTAGCAGAAAATCTATAAATGCAAACCCATTGTTCAGTGCATTGAGCTCAGCTGAATCTCATGAAAAGGGTACATTAGCTTATATCGTATACAAAAGAGCTTTGTGCTTCTGAACAATCTGAATGCCTTTTTCGAATGACGTTAAATCTTCTAATTCTGGTTTTTCTTCTGTAATTTAAAAAATTATTTCCAAGCTGTATAGTTTAAGGAATCTTGACAGAAATAACCTGGCACATAATGTGGATTTTAATAACCTGAAACCGGTATGGATTGCGATTAAATTGTTTTAACACGTTCAGAATGATCCTTTTATTGAAATAAAATGAAGTATTTTTCTAGTACTGAATGTGACTTGTCCTGATATTACTTTAAGACTAAGACCTGTTTATTCCCCTTGGGTATCAAAACATTTTATTGACACTTTTGTATTGAATGGCCAGAAAATGGTCCTTATTCACAAGATGGTTGCTACATGCACTGTTAAATAACAGGAAGTTTTAAATTGGTTAGAGCAGAGAAAGTTGCTGTTTGGTTTCTGAAGTATACATTCCATTTGCCTCTTCAGTACAGTTGCTGAGATTAATATAGAAAGCTTAAGATACCAGTTTATTTACATTTACTGCTTGTAAATATTTCATCTCAAGTACCATTTTTTTCCAAAAATGGGGAAATGATCAAAATTTTATATTAATATTTTGGTCTTTCAGTGTTTAAGCTGGTATGTTAAGATACAGTACCTATGCTCACATTCACCTTAATTACTGGATCAAAAGTATGCAAAATATTTCCCTGTCACTGTGAAAAACAAAGCAATAGGTTTACTACTTACCAGCTCGAGAGATGCCTATGCCTTAATATTTTGTGGTGCAAACATGTTGTAAACTATTTTTCTGGGAAAGGATCAGTTATTGTTTAATCCTAATTTTGGTGTGCACTTTAATGGTTTAACTTAACTTTAAATACCTGTATGAATTTTGTGAAATTATCTTGACTTTCTCACCATCTTAGGTGAAGCTGTCCAAAGTATTTTAACTTAAATAAGGGACAGATGGTGTTTGGTTTTACCCCCAACAACCTCCCCTTCTTTCCTGTATCTGTGATTTGATAACTGGTGTATATACGATTTAAAGTTATATTTAAAATGTAAGCAAATTGTAAATAAAAATTCTTTTATTAAACCACTGACTAGTTTTTGAGTGCTGATCTGAGAAGCATTATCAGCTCACATTTTAACTTGCACTCGCAGCAAATAGACCTTCCACCACTGGCTGTTTAAGGCGTCCTCCACACTTCTGGATAAGGATAAGGGGCAAGCGACATCTTCGTTTTAATAATTAGGTTGCTAAGTCTGGTTCTGCACCATGCATTGTTTATCCAGCATACTTTTGTTATTCATGCACTACAGGTAATCACAGGTACCACATGTAATTAGGGCCATTTATCAACAACAGTAACAAGCAGTGTAACTTGCCTGATTAGGATAGGCTAGGACTTTATTGATCCCACAGTGGGGAAATTTGTGCGTTACCACAGCTCTAGACAGATAGCCTGAAAGAGTACAAGAGTAATACAGAATAAGAATACAAGAAAAAAAAAAAATAATAATAAAAAATAAAATAAGATAAACACTAAATACAGCAGTAGTGCCTATGTACACCCATACACAGTATGTAATATATGGATAGTGGGTTGTGGGAAAAAGTGCAAGTAATAATAATAACTATTTCACTACTACAGCTGCATTTACCTCTATAAGGTGCGTTATGTATGAAGTGGTAAGTAGTGGTGGTGGTAAGTAGTGGTGACCGTAGAGGTAAGTATCTGGGTGACTCATGACGTCATGATGTGTTATAGAGTCTAACTGCTGTCGGGATGAATGATCTGCGAAAGCGCTCCTTCCTGCAGCGACGGTGTATCAGTCTCTGACTGAAGGAGCTATTTTATTTTATTAAATCCTAGTAAAGTGAGTTGACTTGCTTTACTTTCCAGTAAATCATCAGCAGCTGACTGACATAGCAGTTTATTAAATGTCCAAAATGAATTCAGACCAATTTCACAGATCAAAAACACCTTGAACAGATTTTAACTTAGAACACTTACACTTTCTTGCATGTTACGTGCACAAAACTAAAAACTGAACTGCGATGTGTGAATTAACTATTTTTGGCAAGCAAAATACCGGCAACTGCTTGCTGATGCTGTGTGTGACCAGATGGTTACCCATTCCCGACACAGAGATCCAATCTCCGCTGGGCCTTAGTCGGGTGCCGGATAAATGGCTGACCCTCTCTCCTATCCTCTGTCCTGTCTCAAAGGAGAGCAAGATGGCAAATGCCAGAGGTAAAGAACTCCTGTATATCTGTAAAAACACTAAAATAAAGTAACGTTATCATTTATGTTACTAACACCAAACACACGTTATACGTTACTATTAGTATTTTATAGTCACGTTTTAATTAATGACCTGACCTGTTTTAATTCGGTCGTGTAGCCTGAACGCAGCAGCGATACAAGTACACATTTAGAATTTTTTATTTTGTTTATTTTAATTTATTGATATATAATAATGTTCCGATATTGGAGGTATTTAAATGGCATAACAAATCACTCGACACAGCCAACGAAGCAATAGTGGCACAAACACGTTAGCCGATCAGTTTTATCGCGAAATGAGCATGGTAAGTGTGAAGGATTGTGGGAAGTAAAGTTCCTTGTGTGTGCTATTTATAGTCTTCTCAGGAGTATCGTGATGATTAGAACTACAATCCCAGAAATACCTGCGCCTTAGACTTTGGCAAGCTTTCTGTCGACGTGGGAAAGAGTCACTTGCAAACAGAAACCTACATGGGTGTAGGTGGCCAGAGCAATGAACATCTTTTTATGCAAATTATACTCATCGGAATTTAACAATGTGGCTGAAACCAGAGGAGGTGCTTCTAAAAAATGCATTAAAGTTATGGATGACTGAGAAATCAAATGATTATTTCATCTTGCAGAGGAGGCGAGGATATGGTGAAGGAGGTGGTGGCTTGACAGGTAGGGAACTGGCTGTTGTAATCCAGTGTCATAAATCCCTCAGTCTGCAAAACTGACATGTCACGACATTCTGTTCATTTTTCCCACTGATGCACTAGCTTACTTCCGTGGGGAGCTTTAATCTTATTTCGAAGCATTTTGTTTTATTTGCTCCATCTTTTTTCGAAAATGGTGATTCGTGTGCTTTATTGCTTTAAGTAATAAAGTTTTTCCTCCTCAAAATACTATGCAACAAGTATTCCTTAAGACAGCGACGACGTTTTTAATACTATCATGTTGTGATCTTTTCCTCGCTTGCGTTGCCTATGTGTTTCCGGAAATCGGAACTATTATTTATTCACGACGTATCAAAACATTGTTTTTGTGTATCTAATCTACGCGTCTGTTGTCTCTTGTTTATGACCGGCAATGTCTCATACGCATTCAAATGCTGTACATATCAGTACTATAGTAAATCATCAAGGTGTAAAGTCCTTTAAAACCCGGTTTGTGTGGATGCAATTACAAAACCTAAAATGATTGGTTATAACCGTATAACATTACCTTAACTTTATCAGAAATGTGCACCACTGTCTCTATCGTTGAACGTAATACTTAATGTTTTAGAGAGTTAAATCAGTTGTCATCTGTATGATGTCATTCAAAATATCAGGGATTTTGACGAATATATTTGAGCCTTTGAGAAAATAGATTGTGAATGTGAATGAGAAAATAGAAACGTCAGTATACATGTTTTGTCTTCTCTACCAAAATTTACCCTGAAGTTAAAATCAACCATTACTTATTTCGTCTTTTAAAAGTTACAGGTTTTGTATTTGACCGTTGTTGTGTGTTATTACGTTTATTTCTGCACATATCTGAAAAAAACCCAAAGCAAAGACGAATGACAGATGTGATTTGACGTCTTTATGCTGCTGGTGTTTATAAAACGATTCTGTTGCAATAATGGTATGAAACCTCCTTGTCCACAAGGTTAGGTGTAGGGCCTAGGTCATTTCCTACTACAGAACCAGAAAGGCTGAATGCGAAATATGACATTTATCCGTAGACATTTTTCATGGTTTTATGGTGTTTACTTACGCATATGAATGAATGAGTACAGGAATGATAGCACATAAAATTAATTTTACCAACCATCATCTATCTAGTTGTATAGGATATATGTGATAATATTAAGTAGTTTTGGTGATACAGCTGTTAGGAGTTACGATCTTGGGAGAGCAGATATAATAAAAAGGAGGGGTTAACTAATATATTTTAACACATGAATGCAACCGGATTTATGATCATGGGGTGTTTTAGCAACTGCTGCAGCTTTGCAGAAATGATATTAGTACCATAAATAAATATCTGTATTCAGCATTTCTGAATTTCGGAAACGGAGTCATCAGAGCTGATGGCTAAACCAAAACTCTTAAACCGTGGCTCAGAGTTTAATCTAATATTTAAGTTAGTTTGTGGTCAACAGGACTATCATGATGTATTGTAATACAACAAAATGTAGATTTGTGATACGCATTAGTTATTATAGATAAACTGACTGGTGTGTAACTGCTCTGCCATGGGTTGGCGTTCCATCCTGGGTTGTTCCCTGCCTTGCACCCATAGACTCCAGACCCCCCCCCCCCCCCCCACAACCTTCAATAGGACAAGTGGTTAGAGAAGATGGATGGTTTATAGATAAACTGACGTCAACATGACAGATACCTAGTATTGAAATATCACTGTAATTGTAAGATATTCTTGGCTCCAGACACTGAAAAAAACATATTTTTTTTGTAAATACTATGGTTGTGCATATACAGCAGTACATATGAGGTGGTAAGATTTAATTATAATATATGAACTGATACTTAATGTGGAATATTTAAAACACTGTTTCCTATGTTTTGTTAAAAATCTGTCAGAACATATTTAATGTTGTAAGAAAATATTACTTGAAACTTGCATCATCTCACATTTAGGCTCTCCATTAATATGAGTAAACTTGGGAGATGAGAATTAAAATGCAGAGGTGTCAGATCATTCTGGTGTTTTTTTTTTTTTTTTACTGGATCAGTAGGAGAGATCATGTGATCACAGCTAAAAGTTTGACCTTCACTGTGAAATACATATCTATGTTTGTACTATATTCAGATATAATGAAGTTACATGATTATATTTGTCTTTGTACCCAAATTAATTATAATTTTTGATGTTGAAAACTACAAGGACAGTGTATTTTATGCATATATCATAAAATATACAACAGTGAAGGTCAAGCTTTTAGCTGTAAAATGTATTAGGGGTACAAAACAGATTCTTGGTCCGGTATAAACTTCAGTGTCGGTTTCATGGTTCGGTGTCGTTTCAGTACATCAGGGAAAGCTGAATTTGTTTTGAAACTATTTATTATTAAAACTAAAAACACAATTAGGGACAGTTGTGACAGACATGTAATGCGTCGGATGACGTGTCCAAATAACAAGACCTAAGAGATGGTTATTTGCAAGTTATTTGCAAAATGAACATATAAAATAAGTTAAAGAAACTAAAACATCGTAACAGTCAAAATGAACTAAATCTTGTGTTCTTAGCTGAGGTAATTTTTTATCCCGGTCTGAATTTCCTGGAAAAAGCGCCCTAAACACCGCGGGTAGGCTAACTTGCAGAGGCGTACTTCAGTTCGGCATAGCAGAGCTGACAGACAGTATTATCAAGTACTCTCTCTCCAGTGTTGGTGTGACTTACTGGGAATCCAAAACGATCCCAAACCGGAGCTTGTAACTGACTGTAACCAACATTAGCCGTAAACGACTCACAGCTGCAGTTAGCATAATGTTTTCCGTGTTGAACATCTACATGTGCATTTAGGCTTCCACCCATGGCGATAAATGTATTCATTCATTTAATTGTGCGTACTGAACCTAAAATGATGTACCAAACGGTATACACTGACTGCGTATAGTTACAGCCCTAATATTTCCACCTATTAAACCTAAGTCAGACAATAACATTTTTAGCACTAGATTGATTTTAAAGTTGACCTTCTAAGTCGTATAGAAGCGTATGATAAGTTTACTTTACTTGATTTGATATAAGGATAAAATGCCTTTTCAGTGCCTTGTGACCATCTGCACGTCCCTCCTTCCCACTGCCTGCTCGATTGTTATGAGGGTAATGATAGAGAGGAACCCAATGAGAGCCTGACATAACACTCTTGTCTAGTTTAGGTCCCGGCACGTATTTTGGCTAATTAGCAGGTGCAGTGTAGGACACAGATTGCAGTATTGCCATCCAAATCCATTAAGTGTTTCTAATGACCCTGTTGGCCATGTCACCATCTGATGTTTTAGGCTAATTCTACTGCGCTCCGCTGTAATACGTGGATGCTAATGTATCACGAGACACGCAATTAAAAAATTTTTTTAAGACATTTATCTGGATATTTGTGACTTATTCATTTTCAGGAAAAGTATATAATAGATTATTGAAAATTATTTTAGAGTTTTTTCCTCAGTATTTGGGTGACTGACACAATATGCAGATTTTTGTGTCTGAGTCCATTATTTAATTGATTTTTAAAGTCCTTTAATGAATACAGTGTTTGTCTAGTATTATTGTATGAAACCTCTTTAATGTGAATACATTTTGAATACATTCAAATGATATTCAGTTTCAACATTTTTTATCTCAAATGTCAGGTGGTGTATAATTCTGTGTTTGGAACCTTTAAACTCATAAAGTTGTGAAACACTGTCATTTTAAAATCATTGACACAATTGGAAAATGATGCATTTCCATGTCAGGTAGCATAAACCATAGAAAACCATTAAATATTATAGTATGATAAACAGTTTATTAAATTTCAAAATTGTACACAGAAACTTGATATCAAGTATCAGGTTTTATGCAATTTTGTGTTTCTAGGCAGATGCCTGATTAATTTGAAATTAGCTTGAAATGACCGGCGAGACGAGGGCAATTAATATTATTACTAAACATCCATACATTCCTACATACATCCATCCATTTTTTATACCATCTAGTTTTATGCAGAGTCGCAGGGGTGTGGAGCCAATCCCGAGAGCTGCAGGTGCACGAGCAGGCATGACGCAGGATGGGGTGTCAACACAGCTCTGACTGCTAATCACAAATGCAAAAACAGACAAGAATCAGCAATGTCTGATGCATTGTAGACACTTAAATGGGTGCTTTATGAAAGCTTTCATTTGGAAAAAATAATTGTAAATTATATATTTTGGTTGTGACATTTTTTCAGTTGGTAAAAACATTATTTGTCGTGCAACTAATTTTAAGTCCAAGTGAGTTTTTTTTTTTTTTTTTTTTTTTACAAATCTGATGTACTTTTGCTTGTCATCTTCAGATTATTATTGTCAGAAAATCCAGTTTCTTTCAGAGAAGTTTTAGGTATCTATCCTTGAGGCTTTGTAGGATGCACTGTAACATAGACAAGCATTTCTGTTGCTTTTGGCAGAGAATCAGCAAGGTCTAACCTTTAGAATA